AAATCACCATACAAGGAGCTATGGGGGAACATTCGATGGATACAGCACATTCTTAATTTCTCCAGCTTCAAACTGTGACAACACATGTGAACCAAGGAACCTCAGGAGAGACTCAGTGCCCAAAGTTTTTACTGGAGGCACACCCTGTCTGGCATATATCAAAATGCCAAACTCCCAGAAGAAAAGAGGTGTTTGGCATAAACCACATTGTTTGTACAGTTTAGGCACAGTGAACCACAGTAAGGGAATGGAGGGAAACCTCCCAAAATCTAAGTTCCCAGAGGCTAGACCAGGGCCACTGCTAACCTTGCAAGCAGGCCTTTCTAAGTACAGTGGTCTTGGGCCAGATATGTTAGATGTCTAGCCCCATCTTAGAGAATGAGGAATACTTAGAGAAGATAATTTCTAAGTTTGAAGAAGGATGATGTTAGGTACTTTACTATGTTCTCCCCTCCCCCACAAAATTTGTTGAAGCCCTCAACCCTAATGTGACTCTATCTGGAGATAGAGTCTTTAGGAGGTAAATATGGTTAAATGATTAGGTGATTAAAGGTCATAAGAGTGGGACCCTAATTCAGTAGGACTGTGGCTTTATAAGAAGAAGAGTGAGATCTCTCCCTCTCTCTCCACCGCACGAAGACGCAGCAAGAAAGCGGCCGTCTGCAAGCCAGGAAGAGAACGCGCACTCCGAACTAAATTGGCTAGTACTTTCATCTTGGACTTCCAGCCTCCAGAACTGTGAGAAAATAGATGTCTGTTTTTTAACCCACTCAGTGTGTGGTGTTTGGTTCTGGCAGCCTGAGGAGACAAAGACAGATGAGCAGGAAAATGAGAAAGATGACTGCAGACACATCACCTAGAGGTGCAAAAGCCCTGAGGTGAGAGAGATTTGAAGAGCTATAAGCAGGGGCACCCGGGTGGCTCAGTCAGTTAAGCATCTGACTCTTGATTTCGGCTCAGGTCATGATCTCAGGGTCCTGGGGTGGAGCCCTGCGTCAGGCTCTCTGTTCAGCCAGGAGTTTGATTGAGAATTCTCTCTCTCCCTCTCCCTCTGCCCCTCCCTCCGTGCTTGCATGCTCTCCCTCTCTCTCTCAGATAAATACATATTAAAAACAAAAACAAAAAACAGCTCTAAGAAAATGTGACTGTTCTCAGTCCTATTGTCTCCTACAGTGATTTCATCCCTCTTCCAAAGCCCCCACATCCATGCAGGGGCCGAATCCAATTGCTTCTGCCTTCTCAGCACTGGGTAATTCCCTCTCCCCGACTTCATGGCCACCTTGCTTTGGTCATTGCAGCAATATTCGATTATGTTCAGTGCCTCTAGTCTCTCTCCTCTCTAGTACACTTTCTATACTTCCCAAAAGGTGAAGTGCATCATGCCACTCTCCTGCATAAGACTCTTCAGTGGCTCTCGATAGATAGCCCTCAGGATACAATCCAAATTTTCAAGCATAGCCCTTAATGCTCTGAACCTTATCTCTCCAGGCTCATCTCCTGCAGCCTCTGCCTCACATTTACCATCACCCCACACCCAAAGTACAGGCCTACAGAACCGCCCACAAGTCCTAAGAACACATGTGTGCTTCAGCCCTCCTTACTTCTGCACAAGCCATCATGCGAGGCTTCCTCTGAAGACAGTGCTCTGAGTTCTAAGCATTTTACAGGAATTATGCCTTAATCTTCATGACAACCTCATGAAGTCAATACTACTATTCTCTCCACTTGGAAATGAGGAAACTGAGCCACACAGCAGAGAAATGTCTCGCTGGAGCTCATAGAGACAATGTGTTGCAGCACTGGGTTTGAACCCCATGCTCTAGTTCAAGTCTGTCATTGGAAAGACCGCCACACTGCCAGACTTCACCTAGCCTCACCACCGCGTCATCCGCCTAGTGGATTCTCATGCATCCTTCGATAGCCAGCTCAGGCAGCACTTCCTCCATGATGCTTTCCCTGCTCCCGCAGCATTCACCACTCATTTCCTTCCCAGTGTTGTCACCATACCTTAGTCACACCTGGTTATTATGTCTATCACACCCTATGGTGTCCATTTAAGAATCTACCCAACGCTGCACAGAGTTCAGGTAGCACATAAGGATTAGCCTGCACTATAGAAGTCCCCACATTTATTTTCTGAATTGCCCTTTTACTCCTCTGTACCTCATTTTAGTCTATTGCTATTGGTTTACCAGTCCTCCTCACTCATCCTCAGCTTCTTGCCTGCTTTAGCCTTTTAGTTTGATGCACTGTTTACCCACTTTGCCAAATCTACCTTTGCCCACCATCTATCCTGAACTCTCCCCCCATTGATGAAAACCTAGTAATGAACCCATTTCAGCACAAGCCTGGGCAGTTACCAACACTGGCAGCCCTAACTGGAAGGAACTGATGCCCCAGCCTGGTTCTAGACAATTCATACTTATTTGGTTTAGCTCTTTTCTTTGGTTTCACTCAAGCTACCTCATGGGGCAGACGAGTTACTGAAACAATAAATATCTTACAGAAAATCAGGAAAACTGAACAACCAGGTTCGGGAAGAACAAGAACACTAGTGAAGTTGGACCACAGGCTCTCACTCTTAGTGCTTCACTGTTTATACAACTCAGCTAATGTCCAAGTATCTACTTCTTTTATTTCTAGTTAGTGATTCATTTATTTTCCCCTCTATTCTACACACTATCCAAACTTCATAGCTTCTATTTATTCATAGTGTCCACTTCTTTGTAATTCTGATTTGCCATGACCTCATGGGTCTCTCTACACAAATGTTCAGCATCAGCTCTTCTGAATGTCTAATTCTCTATGTGTTTCTAACTTCAATTTCCCAAAGACAAGAAGATGAATGGCCCCAGTTCATCTTTCTATGTCATGTCATGAAACATCCACTACTGTCCATTCTATGGATTGACAGTCCTTGAGTCCAGAGCTAACCTCAATCCAATCAACTGTGACAGTAGGCACAGGGTCAAATCATGCAAAAAGTCACCAACTGGGTTGACCCTACAGCAGAGGCTGTATGTGAGGTGTTTTCCCTGAAAGAGGATTATGTTATCAAAGGTTCCATGATTCACGAATAGAATCATATAGACTAATGATTCTTTAATATTTTTTAATCCTAGATTTTTCTGAGAATCAGATGAATACCATAGATCTTTCCCCAGAAAGAAAATCTCTTATGCAGACAATTTCATATATAACTTTAGGGTATTTGTGGACCCTAGAAGCCATCCATGGAACACCTCCCAAGCCACCAAGGGTAAAGTCTATCCACAGACCACCTCAAAGGCAGGCACTATATCATTCATATTCATATTTGTATCTCTTGTGCCTAGCACTGGTCTCGGCACATAGTAGGTTTCCAAAAATATTTGTTAAATGAATAAATTGAAGAATTCATTCATTCATTTGGTAAAAGAAGTTTTTCCAATCCGGATAGAGGCTAAGAAGTTTTTATTTTATATAAAAGGCATGGAGGAGTCATTTTGTTTCATTCTTTTGTTGTGGTTTGTTTTTTAAGTAGGCAATTGATCAGAGCTGCACGGCAGGAAAATGTTTTTTAAAAGATTTTCTTTATTTATTTGACAAAGAGAGCACAAGTAGGGGGGAGCAACAGGCAAAGAGAGAGGGAGAAGCAGGCTCCCCGCTGAGCAGAGGGAGCACGATGTGGGACTCGATCCCAGGACCCCAGGATCACAACCAGAGCAGAAGGCAAAGGCTTAACCAACTGAGCCACCCAGGTGCCCCAGAAAATGTGTTTTTCACAGTCAAAAGAATAGACTAGAGGTGCAAGAGACCAGTTAGGAAACTGAAGGGAAGAGGGAATGAAAACCTAAACTAAGAGCCCTGGAGGTGGGAATAGAAAATATGGGGCAGATCCAAGAGAGTATAAAAATAAAAACTGATAGGGGTGCCTGGGTGCCCTCTCTCTCTCTCACTGTCTCTGTCAAATAAATAAATAAAATCTTTTTAAAAAAAAAGTGAAAGCAGTTGGCACTTGAAAAGATTTGGGGGTAAGAAAGGGATTTACAGTCAAAACCTGACTCCAAAGCTCTCAAGCCGGGAGAATGGCGGAATAGCAGTACCATTAGCAGAGAAGGGGAAGATGGGAGAGAAACAGGTTATTTCTTTAATTATTGAGTCTGGGGCTCCGGTGCGGCTTTCAAGTGGATTCAAGAAAATGCGCGTCTGAGTAGCTGAGGGGAGACACACATTTGCTCAGAAGTGACCAGCGGGTGCGAGGAAGCAATTTACACGATGCCCTGCGGGCCGTTATCTTTCATTCATGTCTACTCCAGTTTCTGAAGCCGTCTCAAAGCCATCATTTCCCTGGACAGTTATAACAGTCTTACGAAACAGGAAATGCAACATCACTACTTTTAACAGATAAGGAAATAGAGCTCCGAGGAGAGAGGGGATTTGCCAAAAGCATTGCAATAAAGTGACAGGCCCACTATTAGAACCCGGAGCTTCTGCCAGCTGCACACAGATAAACGCCCTACTCACACGGGTCAGCTTTTGATTGCAGTGGTTTGGAGTTTTGTGGGTTTAACTGTCTCGGGTTAGGGAGAAGTTTGAGACAATGGTGCTCCATTTGATTGGCACAAATCACCACTGTTTACTCTATTAGCCAACTTTAGTGTGAAGGAATAGACAGCCCGGCTTCTAGGGAACTTGTACAATTAAGGCTCACACTCCGCATTGCACGTTTTTAAAAGGATCCTTTTGCCTCTCCAACCTGAATGAGCAGAGCGAGCTCGTACACGGAAGAGAGCCACGGACATGGGCACACCACGCCCAAGACCACTATGCAAAACCTTTAATTCAGAAAAGTCCTTTAAATCTTCAAGGCCCACAGGACAGGAAGAGACAGAGGGTACCGGGTGAGCGGCGCGTTGGGCAACGCAGGCGGGGCGGACAAGTCGGGATCTGCGCAGGGGAGGCGGAGGCGGAGGCGGGCTGGCGGGAGGGGAGCGCGCGAGTCGGGCGCGGCCGCGCGCGGGGCGGGGCGCCGAGAAAGACCCGAGCCCGCAGCCCGCCGCCCAGAACTCGCAGCGCCTCCGCCGCCGGACGCACGGCCCTCGCCCGTCCCGCGAACACATGGTAAGCCCGACCTTTTTCTCGTCTTCGAGGCTCTGCAATGAAAAGAGCCACACGGTGCTTTCCACCACGCTTGATCTTTCATTTCTGTGTGGACGTGGCAGGAAGCAGGGCAGGAAAAAAAAATCCGGCGCGGGTGGGGGGGTTTGGAATTGGGGTAGAGAGGCAGGAAGGAAGCAGCCCTAATGATAGCTGTGATAGCAGCCGAGGGGCGGCCACAGGAGGGTCTCTAGCTCCAAGGCGGCGATAAGGTGCGGAGCTGGGGAAGGGGGCTGCGCTCGGCACCGCGTCCCCACGGGGTGGCGCCACGCGCGATCCCCCTCCGCCGGGAAGTGGGCGAGTCGCGGGGTCCCGCCAGGGCTGGAGGCCCCTGGCCTAGCCCTGGGCTCGCGGAAGCCAGGGAGACAAGTGAAAGAGGTGGGGCAGAGGGGGCGTCCGGCCGCTCTAATTGTTTCTGTAGACCAGAAAAGGGCACGTCTCAGAACTGAGCCGTCTGAGTGAGCCCTGGGAAAATCGTTTCAGTAAGCTAGGCAACCGGCCAAGACACAAAGAGCCTGAAACTGAAGCGGCTCTCAGCTGTCGGAATGCAGCCCGGACGGTGGGAGGAGCCTCGTCCAGGCCGAGTCCTCTCCTCCTGCCCTTTTCCTCTGAACCCACCATCTTTTCAGGGACTCGTGTCGTCATCTGTTTTTCTCTTCCAGTTCCTGCCAACCTACTTTGAATTTTCTTTCGAACTTTTGCATTAAACCACCTCCAAAATTTACCTCCTCCAAGGCCTCTTTAGTGAAAGGAGTCAAATAAGCTTCCGCCCGGGGGCCAGATGGGGTTTCTGTGTCTCCCCCCTCCCCCCAAGCTATGAATGGATTTTACGTTTTTGAGTGGTTGAAAGAAAATCACAGGAAGAATAATACTTGTTAGACGTGAAATGATACGAAAATCAAACTTAATTGTCCATAAATGAAGTTTTACTAGCACACGGCCACGCCCGTTCCCCAATGAGTTGCCTGTGTGGTTGCTGTCCCGCGACAAAAGAGTGACAGAGACAACATGGACTACAGTGGCCTAATATATTTACTGTTTGACCCTTTACAAACAAATTTGCCCCCTTCTGCTCTAGTGTGTCAACCTTTATCGCAGCCTGCTCTTCTCCTCTTTACTTTCCATGCATGTGTCCCATGGAACCTGGAAAAGGTGGACCCCGCACCAATAGGTGGTGAAGATCTGGAATGATTGTCCTGTCCTGGCGGAAGGTGGATGCCATTATGGATCCTTTGGGGGGCGGGGGAGTAGGAGGGTAGGAGCACATTGATTAAGAATGACAACAGCAGGGGCGCCTGGGTGGCTCACTTGGTCAAGGGTGGGACTCTCGATCTCAGCTCAGGTCTTCATCTTAGCGTTGTGAGTTCAAGTCCCACGTTGGGCTCCATGCTGGGCGAGGAGCCTACTTAAAAAAAATAAGTATGACAACAGCAATGCTGGAGTCTTTTTCAAGTGTTACTTCTTTTTCACATTACTTTTTCTTCCCCCTTTCCTCAAATGTTGAGTATTTAGCATGCATTTTTAAAATTCTTTCACGGTATCCAGTTATCTCACACCATTTTCTTCTTCCTATCATGGTGCCAAATACAACTGTGAGGATGCAGGTGGGGAGTGCTGGCCTCCAGGCAGGAGATCTGGTTCTCCTCTCTCTCAGCCTCTGCTCCACCTTGAGCAAAGCTTTCCTGTCTCTGGGCCTCCCTTCTCGGGAACCATCTCCCAGGCCCCCTCCAGCTTGCAATTTTGCAATTCCGTTTCAGTAGTTTGGTAATTGTGTTTCTTTCTTTTGCTCTGGAAAATTACCTCTGAGGAGAAATACAGAGGTTTTAATTTTTTCCATGTGTGGCTGATAGCAACAGTTTCAAGAAGGAAAAAAAAAATAGTCTAAATTATAGTCCTGATGTTAAGGAGGAAAAAAAATAAGGCAGAAAGCCACTTTGAAACCAGAAAAGCAAAACGGTCTGAATTCCACAAGGAAAGGGGGCAGAGGAGCATCTGTAGGCCTCACAAAGCCCTTGCTCCTTAGCCTGGAACCTTCTGCCTTATCTGGCTTGCCCTCCCAGCTGGCCTTCTTCCTGTCAACTGACACATCGGTAAGACAGTGAGATTTTAGTTCCGATAAGGAAGGCGGTTGAGCAAACACATCTGTTTCCAGGCTATGGTATTCTGTTTCACTCCCAAACCCTGGACCTAAAAACATTTTTCTTTCCTTAAGAAAAAGTTCTCTTTGAGAAAAAAGAAAAAATCCCAACAAGATGACTGTTGGGAAAGAATCCACCTCCAGAAGCGTTCATTAGAACCACCTCCGAGGGGGCTTTACAGATCAGGCAGCTCATCTAGCTGGTAAAGCACCTGGAGAAACGGCCGATGAAAAGGCTACAGGAGGAAAGAGGGAAGGAGCCCAAAGCTATGTGGCTAAGGGCTCAGATCATTCCGTTAATTACATTAATTATAGTCCACAGCTCGTTAATTACTAGGATTGAAAGCCTCCAGGAAGTCCCGAAAAGACCAAATTAAAAGCTAAATGCTAAATTGCAAATGTCACCGTCCAAACAAAGATCTTTTTTTTTTTCAAGATTTTATGTATCTGAGAGAGAGAATGAGTGATGGGAGGGGCAAAGGGAGAGAGAAGCAGACTCCCTGCTGAGCAGGAACCCTGATGCAGAACTTGATCCCAAGACCCAGAGATCATCATCTGAGCTGAAGGCAGACGCTTTATGGACTGAGCCACCCAGGAACCCCACAAAGATCATTGTTAATACCTGAAGATAAAGCCTCAAAGGAGGGCATGGCTGGCAAGTTTTCCAGAAAGCCTGCAGTGGCCAGACTAAACCACCAGGGGATCTAGGTACCAGCAGGAATGACCCGAAGACTCCGAAAAATAGGATTTCCCTGAAGAATTCTGTTACAAGGAAAGCAGAGCTCACACAGAATTGACCCCAGCTTCTCCTGGTGCTACCACAGCTAAGGTTCAGCTCTGTAGATGTCGGGAGCTGTGTGAATAGCAACCCGAGAGCTCCCTTCCTAAGATCCACCTTTGTGGTTTGAAGTGACCAAAGAAGTTCCTCCAGCCATTCCTGTAGGAATTAGTGGCATCTGGAAGTAGAAGGAACAAAGACCAAAACTGCAGAAAGGGACCTGGAGGCTGAGATTCTCGGGGTGGTTCTGCTATGTCAGTTCCCTTCTCATGTCTCCGTTTCCTCGCATGTAAAATTAATGGTTTCTAACCTTCGATATGAAAGCTGCTTTTGAACATCCAAAAAGCTCTCAGATCTCCCACCCCACACACAATAATAACTACGCATTTAGTATTCTTCTAGAAAATGCAAGAGTCCCAGGAATTCAGTATTGCTTTATTTTTACTTATTTAAGTAGCTTTATTTTTACTTATTTAAGTAGTATTTAAGTAGCTTTATTTTTACTTATTTAAGTAAGGGGCAGACAGACTCTTAAGCAGGCTCCACGCCCTGCTTGGGGCTCAATCTCACGACCCTGAGATGTGACCTGAGCCGAAATCAAGAGTCGGTCACCAAACCGACTGAGCCACCCAGACACCCCCCAGTATTGTCTTAAAAAGCTGCCATTTCATTCATCCCAGCAGCCTCTATATTCTCTTAGAAAATAGGAGATTATTTAATCTCTAGACAGTGCATGGTGTGCTTACAGATCTGTGGCTGTATAGTTATACATATGTTTACCCACAGATTCTCGAAACATCAGTAAAACCTGCCACGCTCACTCTCAGCAAGGCAGTCTACTGCTTTCAGACACACCCACCTGCTCCATGCGTACCCTCACTATGCTTCACCCGGAATAAACATGGGAACCAATAGAGGAGGCTCACGGAATGTGACTCTCTGTGTTTGTTCTGGGCCCCTCGTCCCCTAAAAAAATGACCTAGCCTTTTAGGAAACTGCTTTGCCCCGAAATGAAGGTATGAGATTCTCTATAGAGTGTTCTCTAGCATCTAGCCCTTGTCTGAGCCCTGACTTCTTTTCTCTAAAGGCAAAAATGTCCAGCCCTACTGAGACCGAGCGGTGCATCGAGTCTCTGATTGCTGTTTTCCAGAAGTTTGCTGGAAAGGAGGGTAACAACTGCACACTCTCCAAGACAGAGTTCCTAACCTTCATGAATACAGAACTGGCTGCCTTCACAAAGGTATTGCTCCCAGCCCCCGGCCCCCAAACTACCCAGAGCTCGAAATAAGACACTGGCAGAATGGCTAGAAGTGAAGGCCCAACTGACAACCACACTCCGCCTCCTTTTCATTCACTCTGAGCCAGGGGCCTGCATAGACAAGGCTGAGCCCCTAGGCCTCTGAGTGAGCTCTGCGTGACCATGAAAGGACCTTTTCTTCTTTTCTTTGAATAAGATATATTTTAAAGATCAAAGTTACCAAACTACATGACACAGGGAATGGTAATTTTTTTCTTTCATTTAGGGAAAAGGCATACGAAACGGTAAATGGTGTAATAGGATAGTTTTCAAATTTTATTCCTCCATCCCAAAGCCTCTAGGGAAGCCCTGTCCCATGGAACTTTCTGTGATGATGGAAATAATGTTCTGCATATCTGCACAATCCCATGTGGGAGCCACATGGGATTTCAAGATGTTACGTATCTGAGAGAGAGAGAGTGGCAGGTGCCACTTTCGGACTGACTTTCTAAATCCCTGATTTAAATGGCCGTACGCAGCTAATGGCTGTACGTGCGTCATGTGTTGGCGGCTCAGCTGAGTGGGGGAGGAGGAGGCGGATCGGGGCCTGCATCCGCTTTCCACCTCGCATCACTCCACTTCCGTATAGTCCCTACACTGCGGTTGCATGCAACACTTGAAAAACTTTTGTGAAATTGCACAACCCCTGACCATCACAGAGGAACCCTGGGCCGGGAGCCAGAAAAACGTGGGTTCTGGTCACAGGTCTTCCCCTTCGGCAAGTCACTTCACCTATTTGAGTCCATCTCTGTGTCTGGGAAGTGGGAGTGTTACTAACCCCTACCCTGTACCATTTCTTGTGAGACTAAGACGTGGCAGCATAATGGAAAGCATCTTAGAAAGTGTGATATAAATTAATGTATTATTAATAGTAATAGTATCATTATGATGGTTATTGTTATCTTTGCAGAACCAAAAGGACCCTGGTGTCCTTGATCGCATGATGAAGAAACTGGACCTCAATGCTGACGGGCAGCTAGATTTCCAAGAATTTCTTAATCTTATTGGTGGCATGGCCATAGCTTGCCATGACTCCTTTACAAGGTCTACCCATTTCCGGAAGTGAATCAGAGGGGCTCTTGGGCCTTGGCCTCCAGACCACCTCTTTCCTTCAAAACAGCCTCCCAATCATCACGTCCTCCTCACATCCTCCACGGACCCTGAGCGCAGAGCGTCCACCACCCCCTGTGCAGGCCAGTCCTGCTGGTAGTTAATAAAGCAATAGCGTTTTTTAAAGCACACACTAAAGAGTCAGTCCATTTGTGCCAGGGAGGAAGCAGCGTGGGAGGAATGGAATTAGCATGATGGAAGCAGTTCCCAGAGCTGCACAGTAAATAGTGAAAATACACACTGGGTGTAGATGTAATTATGACTCACGATACCAACAGGATCATTCCAGATTACTCAAACTGATGGAGAGATGTCACTTGTCATAACTCACTCAGTGCCCTAGTATGGGCACCGTCACAGGCTCTGAAGATACAGTCAGCAAGACAGACAAGGTCCCACATTCACTGAGCTGACTTTCTAGTGGGGGAAAGACGGTGAATGAGTAAGCAACAAACAAGACCACTAGAATGTGATAAATCCTGTGGAGGAAAGATTACGAGGTGGTGTGTTAGGTTAATGGGGGCTGCAGGAGGGCATTCTTCCGAGATCTCATGTGTGCTGACATCTGAAGGATGAGATGGAGCAAACCTCAGGAAAAATGGAGGAGGGAGTTTCAGGAGAAGGAACAGCAAGGGCAAAGGTCCTGAGGTAAGAAGGAGCAGGATGCTGGAGGAATGGAAAGGAGGCTAGTGTGGTCAAGGTCTTAATTTTCTAAGCCCTCTGATAAAGCAGCAGGGAAAGTGCCTAGACAGAAGGACTGGAAGGCTGACCCAGGGTTAAATACAGTGGATAAAGAGAAGCATGTTCTGGGGCACAGATCCCTAAGCAGCACAGGTGAAAGTGATTGTTTCTAGAGGCCCTCTGATTCCTTATCCATCTGCATGAGTTTTAACTTCGTAAAAAGCTCTCTAGATCACAGTTTCTTCCTTCATAAATTAATAGAATGAATTAGACCATTACTGGGACCATTTTTTGTTTGGCTCTGACATTCCAGAATGAAGACCAGTGCCTCAGGCTGGCAAGACCCTAAGTTTTCAAGTAGAACTGTAACTGCTATTTGGATAAGTTCCTTAATTCATTAGCAGCACGGGATAGAATCTGTAGTCCGTGAAAGTCTGCATATTATTCCCTTGGCAGGTGCACCCATATACAAATAAATAATAAAAATAATTAAAAAGTTATTATCCCAAAGAACACTGAGCCAGGGAAGAGATGGAAAAACATCAGGCACCCTAAGGTTACTGGCCTATTTGCTATTCTACCAAGAAATCACTGGCCCTGGCTTTAAGACGTCAGGCTCAGGGAACTAACTGAGAAATCTTTACTTGCTTGGCTCCCTCAAACTTGGAAAGAAGTAAGACCCAATCTGTACCAAGCTTTTAATCCAAGATTCAAATCAACAACTCTCTGAAGTGCCTCCTATTTGCAATGAGTTTGGGGAGGAAGTGATAAGCTCATAAGGGTTGTTGTATTTAAAGTGCCATTAGTAGGTCCAGTTGGCAAGGCCCAGTGGGCATCTGCATTTGAAGTCTGGAGAGATCTGGCTTGAGAAACAGGAGGGCTTGGGGGCGTGCCCTCAGTTGGAAAGAGGGGCAGTAGCAAGAGGAAGAAGACTCAGCAAAGGAGAGCCTAAGGGGTCGGGGAAGAGGAGCAGAGCTGACAGGGACAAGATCATGGTTAGGAACCCCATCAGACAATCACCGTCCTTCAACTCCAGGCCACGTGCGAAGCCTGCCTCCCATGCCTCACGCTCTGCCTGTGGATCTTGTCCACCCGTCTTCATTTACCCGTAGAGGCCAGTGACCACACATACCTCTCTCCTCAACCCGCCTCTAGCTCCTGAACTCCGACACTGCCTCCTGGATTTCTCCACGTAAAATAATACCAGTATCTTTCACATACTCAAGGATTGAACAAAGTGTAAGTGGTCTGTGTATCTGGCAGAGGGGAATGAATAAGGCAGAGAAGACTTTTTTTTTTTTAAGATTTTATTTATTTATTTGAGAGAGAGAATGAGAGAGAGAGAGCACATGAGAGGGGGGAGGGTCAGAGGGAGAAGCAGAC